TAATCTGGGTCTCTCTCTGGCCCCAGCCTGGGACCTGGAGAGGGAACAGTGTCTTATCTGGGTGGTGTTCTGGAGAACGGAGCTAATCTCAGCGCCATTAGCTACCGCCTGGCTGTCCAGTGGTGAGAGGACTCGGAAGTGAAACAGGAGGCGGAGGTGGAGGCAGGACACGCCTGGGTCACTTTGACCCAAAGGGCTCGCTGTTTGCTAAACAAACACGGGACTTCTGACTCCTGTGGTTTCTCAGGGTGACTCTCCTGCTGGCCCATGCTTGGCAAGGGCTCTACTGAGTTTTAAAATTGTATTGTTTCTGGGGGTTTTTGGCCATAATCAAGTGTAGTAAAGTTGCGTCCATAGCAAGCATGTATAGAAAGTTTGCTATGTGCCAGACACTGGTGTGTTTTCATTAAGTCCTTTCAGTGACCTTGGTGGCGTGGGTGTCTTTTGCCCAAGAGAGAACCAATTTGGTGCTCCAAGCCATGTGGGGTGCTTGACTTCTCCCAGGTGCCCCGGCTCTGAGTCCCGCTCGGCCTGTGGGGGTGCACACACTCTCTTGTGTTCTCCTCTACCCTCTTGACACCATGCAAGAAGCCTGCATCCCTGACGCACGGCCGCCTTCAGGCCCCCCAGCCTAAGCACTTCCGGTGTACCAGCTCTCCAGGGCTGCAGGGAGGGTCTCTGATCAGCGCACCACAAGGGACACCATGTGTGCTTTAGTGGCTCCCCGGGGTCCTCTGGGTGGGCGTCTCTGCAAGTCTTTGGCAGGATAGCAGCAAGTGACTTTGCAGGCCCTGCGTGGCAGACCAGTGAGGAGGCGAGAGGGGGTGATTCTGAGAGGTAATGTGGGTGTCTGCTTGAGGTTGTGGCTGGTTTATGTGTCCCCAGGAGTAAGTGTCTTGTCCCTCCAGTCTGCTGTGGCTGCATAGGAGCTCCTGAGAGCCCTGGGCCTGAGACATGGGCCGCAGGTGTGAGTGACCCTTTTGATTGCCACTCAGAGCTGGGGGCTGGTCCTGCAGGAGCCCTATGGGTTGTGTGGGCAGGGACAGTTGTGTGCCCACCACACGGATTGCAGGGCTCCTCGTTGGCACCTTATGCACCATGCCACGTCCTCTCTCAGGTTTCACACCTTGGAGCATCTGAGTCTGGTGCCTTCTTTCTCTTTGAGGTGACAGGTGAGTTAGGCTGGCTTCCATCCTGCAGGGGAGGAGGTGAGGCCCAGAGATACCTGCAGCCTGATGCCCTAGGCGGCGGCAGGTGATCATCCTTCCTCCATGCATGTGTGGGGCACCTCCCCTCGGAGCTGGTCAGAACTGGGGTGCAGCCCCCCAGCAGTTCTCCAAGTGCAGTCATCCTCCAAAATCATGCTCTTCTACTCCATGCCCAAGGTCATTTCTGAGAGAATGCTCTGGCTTTCTGATGGATCTTCACCTGTGTTTTTTTTTTGTTGTTGTTGTTTGTTTGTTTGTTTTTCCAGAACTGGGGATTGAACTCAGGCTCTTGCGCTTGTCAGGCAAGTGCTTAATCTACTGAGCCATCTCCCCAGCCCCCTCACCTGTGTTTTTTGAGACAGGTGTCACTGGGTAACCCAGGCTGGTCTTGAACTCATCAAGATCCTCCTGCCTCAGCCTCTGGGTGCTGGGATTATAGGCACTCCCAGCTTCGTGTGTGTGTTTTGTGCAGAATGCCAGAGTGGTTCCCTCTTCCCCAGGCCAGGCTGAGCCACTTCAGAGATGGCACCAAGTGCAGTCCTAGCCCTTGGCAGAGCTTCGAGGTGATGGTAAAAAATGCCAGCTCCCCACAGCCTCTGTGTGCTTCTGTCCCTCTGCTCTTCCCTGGAGAGAGCTTTTTAAATTTATTTTCTTGACTTATTTATTTGGTTTTTTTTTAATTAATTTATTT